AAAATGTTGTATTTTTAGATGAAACTACCTTTCAGATGTTTCGTAACATCATGTCAGCATTTTACAAGACCAGAATGAATGTTCCACAAAAGAGGGTTCCAAAACACCTAGTGAAAGTTCATGCATGGGGTACTTTCTTAGCGCGTGGAATGATCGGCTTCCATATTTTTACTCAAAACATGAATGGATCACTTTATCACGATATTTTAACTAATAATATTTTTGAAAATGCATCTAGGATTATGCTGTTGCATTGGATCTTCCAGCAGGATAATGACCCAAAAAATACGGCAAAAGACATGACTGAACTTCTTCATCATCAAGTCCCGAAGATCCTCGATTGGTCCTCCTATAGCCCTGACATAAACCCAATAGAGAATCTATGGGCTATTATCAAAAAAAGAATGAAGAAACAAGTAAGCAAAATAATTAGAAAAAAAAATTAGTGTTATGCAATGGCATGAAATAATTCGAGAAGAATGGGAGGGTATTTCCATAGACCTATGTCTTAATTTGGTAAATGGAATGTCAAGGCGATTAAATGATGTTATTGAAAATAATGGGAAAAAAATTGATCATTAGATGTACATAGATTTTTTAATAGATGTTACATGGACATCACTGCAAAACTGCAACCCAAATAAATAAAACCCACAAAATTTATATAAAAAAAATGATTCTCATTATTTATGATGAGCACTGTAGGTTGATTACTATTTGCACATCATTTTCGAAGTTATGCCTGATTTCTATTATCAGCTACACGTATAAAGTAAATAGTAAAAAAAATGGTCGCGTAAATGTTATCAGGTATGCTATATACAAGCTATCTGGACACGCCAACTGAAAAAATTTAACCAAAATTCCGAAAATTTGTTATACTTATTTTGGTTGGCAATTATCAAAATATTCTTCTTCTATATTTATTGGATATAAACATTCTTTACAAAGAGTAATATCAAGATTTGTAAGGTATTGGGTGTTATTGTAGGTTTGTTAAAGGATCGAGCTTGTGTGTAAAAGTCCCCAGATACCAAGAGAGCTAGGGTTGAGGAATATCGCACCAAAAAATAATGGGTAGTTAGCTTACCCGTCTCATGTATTTTTTTTATATTGTCTCAATAAAAACGATCAAGAAGTTCATTTTTCCTTTATCGAAAATAGTAAGGATTTTTTAGCCTGCTTGTACAAGGTGTCATTGTGCAATTCCATTCGGATATATACTAATTTTGACTCATTCTTACCTGATCATATCTGTTATCGATATGTCTCTTTCTACCCTTAAAGCCCTTGCATATAATATCCTAAAAGAAACGGGAGACATCGCCCAAGATGCAGAAAATCCCAAGTCACTTCAATGCTCAATATGTAACAAGAAAATTTTAACACTTACATATGAATTGTTTACTGTTCTCGGTGGTGTGAGCATGTATTTCACAGAATGCATACGGTACCAAGTATATGCCCTTTTTCAGACTGTGGTAAAAGCATTGATGTTATTGATAAGAGTTCAAGACGAGATTAAAATTACAGATAAATCCATGAAAAAAGCCTTTCAGTAAAAAACTTAAGAAACTAGTTTAAAAAAAGGATTCGATTAAAAAGACTTATCTGTGAATTATCTTTTAATACGGCTTATTTCTTAAATTAGGAAAAGGAAAAGACTTCACAAAGGATCTGCACAGAAAGTAAACTGTCCCAGAATTTTATTTTATTACATGTATATTTATTTCCTTATTGCCATTACTGTATTAATAAAACAATAAATATTATTTATTACATATACGTACTTATATTATATTGGAAAAAAGCGGACAGCCTGATTTTACTTTTATTTTAGCAATGCAGTAATAGATTTTATTTTATTATTAAACCATGAGTAGGGGTTAGATCTACTTATCTATTTATCCGAATTATTCGGATAAGACTATTATTAGATAGAATCTTCAGATAAAAATCTATTTATTTGAGTTATACGATTAGACAGATAGATTCTATTAATTTTTATTAACAAACATTAGAGATATAAAAGTTCGTTGTATTTATTTTCTTTTTTGGTATACAATTAATTTGTTTTTTTTTATCTTTTACTATTTATACTAATAATCGATAAATTCTGATTCAGAAAATACTTACGACAAAGAATCATCCACATCTTTAAAAAAATGATTTAAATTCTAAAAATAAAAAACAGAAAGTTTATTCACCCACTCCATCTATAATTTCCGATTCAACTTCAGAATTAAATCAATATACTTCGACTTCAACAATTACTGTTCAACATAAAGCTGGATCACAATTAACAAGCAAAGTATGGAATTTTTTTAATCGGGATCTTGATAGAAAAGTTGGAATATGTCATGTGCCGATATATGAAAAAAATGGATATTATCCTTGTGGAAAAACCATTAATATTACAACATCAACAGGCAATTTTTGGTATCACTTAAAAAATGAGCATGGAATTAAAAATATGGATGAAGAAATACTAGATATAAATGAAAAATTCAAGGAAATTATTAACTTAGTTTGAAAGAAGAGATTGGATAAAAAGATTACAAATTTTATTATAAAAGATCAACAACCTTTATCCGTACTTACTAGTGAAGGTTTTGTTGAACTTGTAACTGAATTTGATCCTTTATATCGTATTCCATCTGAAAAAGCAATTAAATCTTTATTATTAACAGCATATATTCATACAAAAAAATTTAATAGAAAATATATCAGAAAATTTAGTTTTATGTTCTTTAACCTTGGATCTTTGGACAGCAAAATAATGGCAAGGATATATTAGTGTAACCTGTACCTATATCAATAAACAATTCACTATTCAAGAAATTATTTTGGCAATAAAATTTATTCTCTATCCACATACCGGTAAACAAATTGCAAATATATTATCAAGTATTATCAATGAATGGAATTTAACAGGAAAAGTATTTAGTATAATAAGTGATAATGGAAGTAATAGGAAAAAAGCAATTTTGTTATTACCTGAAATTACAAGAATACCATGTACCGCTCATACTCTACAATTAATTATTGGCAAAGGATTGCTTCCATGTAAAATTTTAAAAGCACATGCTAAAAGATTAATCAATTTTTTTATTACACCAAAACAAAATGAAAAACTTGAGCAAGTATAAAAATGAATATTTTTGATAATGAGGTACATATATATAATTTTTATTTTTTTTATTTTTTTTAAATATTAATTTTAAATTTTAAATTTAATTAATATTTATAATATAAATTAGATAATTTATGGAACTGATAAATATCTTCGTTTAATAACTGATTGCAAAACCAGATGGAATTCTTTTTTTCATGCCTGGCAATAATTAATTAAATTATGAAATACAATAACAATAATGATAAGCCTATTAGAAATTGAAAATAACAAAGATTTAAAATGGGATGCAACTAAGCTTAAAAAATTAATCTTACAAATAACAAATGGAATGCAATTGAAAATTTACTTTCAATACTTAAGCCTTTTGCTGATATTATGGAATTTTTAAATGGAAGCAACTATTTAACAATTAGCTTTATATATTATGCTATTACAGTATTAAAAGCAGATTTAATAGATTTAAACAACAATATATTGAAACAGTGGATTTCATATCTAAAACAATGGCTTTTGATGATAATATTGGATACAAAGATGCTGATGAAATTTCAGAATCATCAACTTGTTATATTAAGATTAATACTCCACAAAATTGTGAAATTTTAATTTTTAAAGTGAAATATGCTTTATATTCAAGTCTTAATTATTATTATTCAATACCTTTGGAAATTAATTTATTGGCTACGATTTTAGATCCCCAATCTAAAACTTTTAATTTTGTTAATTTAAATTAAAAGAATATCATTAATAATAGATTACATGATATTTATACCAGTATAATAAGTAAATGTAACATCTAATATTCAAACAACACCTGAGAATTCTCTTTTTGCTAAAATGTTTTATTAAGATTGGCAACAAACAAATGAGGTAGTGGATTATTTGGCTCAATCAAAAATCGTACCAAATTTTGATCCTTTTCAATGGTGGTTAGGAAATAAAATAAGATTTCCTATTGTCATGGGTAAAAAAGTGGGGTACAATGACACGGTACGTGTTGTGTCGCGTAAATGGTATGTTTATGGTAGAATCGGTGGGAAAGTAGTGGTGGGAAAATTAGAGTAGAATGCCTTATGTAATCGTGTGGCGCAAAGCGATTAGCATGTAAACAATACTAGCATGTAAACAAACTAGCATGTATAAATATGACCATCGAATGAGCGAAATAAAGCCAAGCAGACTTTAGGTAGCATTTACTGAAAAATCTGACTTGAAGCATTTAAACTCTTATTTGTGTTTACTATTTCTATCGATTGTTTTCACGCCCATACCTTGCTCACGTGACTATACAAACCAGAGTTCGGCTAGAAAGATTGGGAAAGTTCTAGCAACTACAAGAGTTCCAGTATAGGATGTTCGGTGTAAAGTTAGGAAGCGAAACCAGATTGGTCAAATCGTGACACACCTCAAGAGTTTAAACCCATGTTACGCGAAGTTTACCTATCTTTGGCGACAGACTCGCCGGTTAGCCCACGACACTATTCTTTTCGATCTTGCTAGAAAATATTTGGCAATACCAGCTACATCAACACCTAGTGAACGTGTATTTTCAGATGCTGGTGATAGAATGACTATGCGTCGAACAAGTTTAAAACCACATGTATTTGAGCATCTTTTATTTTTAAAATGAAATTATAGTTTAGTCAAAAAATATATTTCCTAATTTGTAATTTCATATTTATATTAATTATTATAATTAGTAATTGAATCTATAAATAAAGTTATCTGGTTATCTATTTAGATAATTATTCAAATAAAAATTTAACCGCAGATATAACTTAAATAGATAGACAGATAGACAGATCTAACCTCTAACCATGAGTCGAATTTAAGAATCTCACGTGATCACAGTTGTTTAACTTGTTCACATTTCAGCTTTTAAAGCAATTCGCTGGATCCGGTACAAGTCAATAATAAAATTGTTACTAATTATGTTTGCCGGGATTTCTGGAGCATACATCGGTGGAATGGGAAATGACGGTGGATCCCAAAATACTTCACTTATAGGAATATTTATCTGAAAATTTGGATCGTTTGGTACATTACAAAGGGCAAGAGAATGATTACGTGAATCACCGATAAGATCTCTTGAATATTTTCTAGCATTCCCAAAATCCCACTCTTGTACTGCCATTCCTTGGCGATAAAGTTTTGCCTAACATTTAAAAAGCAGATTAATCAGATATGAAAATATGCAATAATTGACTTTAAAGCATTGAGTAATAAGTAGGACATACCATCATTGTTCTATAGAAATATCCAGTTCCAGGTTCTCGAATATTTGGTCTTTCATCTAAAATCTTAATACTGAGGACAGCACGAACGTATTGTTCTTGCATCCGAGTAAAACACTTTTGTCCCAAATTACCAACACTTTGGCTTACAGCTACCTCACATATTATTCGTGCATGAGGATTTCCCTGCATAAGCCATAATAATGAAAATCAAATACACAAATTACAATAATACACATCAAACTTAACATACATTTATATCACTAGGAGGGCGAGGTATTACAGTGGAAGTGGAAGGTCTTGGAACAAGTGTTATATCTGGGCGTACAGTAACATCAGGAGCTATTTCAACTCCCGTTCCACCAGGCTCATCGTAAACTACGTGAAAAGATTATAAAAATATTAAAAATTCGATAACAAGGAAAAAACTATAATAGATTTACTTACGGGGTTGTCCAGAGACTACTATTGGAGGATCGTCAACAACTCCACCGTTAGGAATATCAAAAAATTTTAGAAGCCGGGCAACAACATCCTTATGTACAGATGTAGCCATATCGATTATATACACATTGCCAGTTTGATTGTCGTTGTTTAACTGGAACCAGAATTTGTATCCGGATGACCCGTGATTGTGAAGAAAAGTATTATAATTTTTGATCGTTATGTTCGAGCCAATTTGGAAAGGCAAACTGCATTCCATACAAAGTCAACATTAGAGGATACTTAATAATAAAGTCATACATTCATACACCAACTAACTAACCTATTCTCTTCTAACGGCATTTTTGGTAATCTTGGACGAGACATTTTTTAAGTAGAAAAAAATTTGTTTACATAATTTATGGTCTGATTCAGAAAATATGATGTAACATTTTTGCATGTCACGTTTTTTTTCAGCTATAGCGTAGTAGGAATGCAGGAAATTGAATAATTCAACGTTCATCATATTCACGACCCTCAGCGTTAGCTCGACATACTCCACAAATGTTTGACTGGTTACACGTTGTGCTTTAGCTATGGATGGAAATTCTCACGTAGAACTGTCGTCAAAAATCTAACTTGGTATTTATTACTATCCTTGAAGTTACGAAGCCCGAGACGTACAGCATGCTGAGAGTTTTCTTTTTGTGAACACCATTCAAGATTAGATGCTTTATTGTTTGTTGAATGCCGTCAATATGATTCACATATTCTTTACCTTCTTCTTTAGGGCAAAATGCTAATGCAACCAGACGATGAACACGATATTTTTCTCGAGCGACTCTAAGATATCCTGTATCTAGAGATCCTCTTGAGATTAAACCGTTGGGCAACTGAATCCTCCCTAAAGATGAAACTTTGAATTTTCGGGAATTAAGCCTTCTCTCCATCCTTCATTTGAATCTTTTTCTATGTGATCTTCATAATACATCCAACGCCACCCTTCAGTAGTGTTCAGCTTTTTGCTACAACATTGAGAGATATGAGGCCCTGAAATCTTAAGTGTAGAACTTGCAAGAGCTATAGAATCCCAAATCCGAATAACATTTCCATCCAAAGTCTTTTGCACAATTTTCCTGGAGCTACTATGACCAGAATTTGGGAATATTTTACGTTCAACATTCTCTTTAGGAGTTACCCATTCCAAGTTAATAATTTGATGCCATTAATATGATTAACATAGGGCTTATTTTCTGGATTAGAAATAAAGGCTTGTGCAACTAAAATATGGACAGCTCTACTTGTATAAGTGTCATTAATTTTTAAATTTATCCGTATATAAACTTTTCTTTTGCAGGGATTTGCCCTTAAAATCCTACCTTTATTATTTTTATGCGTCCAAGATTGGAAACTAGAAATTCTGAAGCAGTTTTCATTGGTAACCAAACTTCCATTATGATGTCTGTTATTTATCATCATATCTACTTTTTAAATTTAGATCAGACATATTTTCCATAGATTCTATATTCGAGAAAAAAATCATGCATACGGTACCAAGTATATGCTCTTTTCTGGCTGTGGTAAAAGCATTGATGTTGATGAAACTCAAAGACGGGGAACTATATCCTTCCAAACAAGTGGCACATCGACTCTAGTTGGTGAATTTAACCGTAATATTGGAATTACTTCGCCAAGAATTTCCTCCCAGGATCAAGACGTGGTTATGGATGGAAATGAAGGAGTTGAAAACCCACTCATCCTACTGCAAAAGCGTGTTAATGAACTTATCCCTACGGCGAGTTTCTCCAATAAAAAGATTAAGAAGCCAGTTAATAGAGAAGAATTGACAAAACTGAAGAAGCTTATTGATGAATTATTATCCGACGATTCTTTACAAACTAACGAAGATATAGAAGAGAGTGCCTCTAGTCACGATGCAATTGCTTCCACCAACGGAAATGCTAATGATTTTTTATATTTTTTTAGAAAGATCGATCAATATGAATCTAAATATCTAGTTTCTAATAGAGAAGTTATTAGTAGCCATTTTGACTTTAGATTGATTTTATATAGCCAATATAAGGATTTAAAAAAAGATAATGGTAAAAAAGGAGCGAATTCTTTACTTTTTGATGAGGTTAGGAAACAAATTCCTGTTGAAGTAACTAATGGTGCCTTAAGGAAGAGAACTGAGAGAGCCCGAAAAATCTATAGGCTTTTCACTGCTATTGTTAAGGGGGATAAGAATTTAGTGAAACAAAAATAGCATTAATTAGATCATTTTCGTATATTCCATTTCAAGCTTAAGTAGAGATGATATTGATTTTGTAATTGTCAAATGTTTGATAACGAAATAAATGACTGCGCCACGTTACTGCGCCCTTGTGACTGGCATGTCGTGGAAAACCAGATATTGATAATAAAATTTGCTTATATGCACTACAAAACATTAGTATTATTTCATTAGGTTTTTATTTTTTTAACATGAATGCGTATAAGTATTGTAACAGGGAGAAATGGGACGCGACGTTAGTCACATGACCGATCGACGTGACCATGGTAAGTCGGCTGTGATA